TTTTTTTTTTTTTTATGTAGATTATCATCTTAATGGTTTTACCTGATTCGATGGGATCATCTGGTGCCAATTACGCGAAAAATCTTTTACGAGCAGCCATTCTTATTCAGTACATTCCCAGACTGTACAGATTCTTACCTCTGATTGCTGGTTCATCTCCTTCTGGCTTCATTTTCGAGTCTGCCTGGGCAAACTTTGTCATGAATCTTCTTACCTTTGTTTTGGGTAGCCATGTGATTGGGTCGTGGTGGTATCTCTTTGGCCTACAGGTCCTATTTTTATTTATTTATATTTTTTTTTTATGAATTTCGTTCATCTCGAGATTTTGAGGCTTCTCAAGTCTCATTTGTGTGCTTATATGCTTGAATCTTGTTTTTGATATATCAAGATTCCTCCATTTTTTGTTTACTTTCATTGAAGTTTTTACTTGCGCATGTTAGAGGGTGAACCAATGCTTTCGAGACGCGTGTAGTGAAAGCTCGATCAAAATGTGTATGGAGTTTCTCGATTGTGGGCATGGGGACAGACACGAGAGGTTCGGACGGGACTCAACATGGGAACTGTGGAAAAACAATCCAAATGCAACGGCTTGTTTTAGTCGAGACGGTTTCGATTATGGAATATATCAAAGCGCAGTCAATCTTACCACACACAAAAGTATAGTTACACGATACATTTACTCGTTATTTTGGGGATTTCAGGTACATTTTATTTGTTTTTAAGTATAAGTTCATCTTTGTTAGGCTATGTTTGGTAAAACTAGCTCATAGCTTATAAAAAACTTATATGGTAAAAGTGTTTGGTAAAATTAGTTAATAAGCTAGCTGAAATAAAAAAATTAATGAGCTTATTTGAAAAAATACCCAAAGAAGCTTATGAGATAAACTCGAGCTTTTTAAAACAGTTCAATCTACCAAACGAAGCTTATTTAATTACAGGAAGTTTATAAGCTTATTTGGTTACCAAACATAGCCTTAGTGTTTGGAATACTAATCTTTCTCATCTTTAGGAATAATTCGTTCTTTTTCCTTTCAGCAATGTTAAAAGTGTATCGTTTTCTATTGTAGCAAATTAGTACCTTAGCTGGAAATCAAGTTCCGAGCTATTTTGTGGGGGAAGTTCTTTTTACCATGGTCATCATAGGCACGGGTCTCTTGCTTTTCGCTCTGTTGATTGGGAATATGCAAAATTTTCTCCAAGCTCTCGGCCGCAGGTAATAATAATAATATCACATTCGCGTCAAATTTTCATTCATTTCACTCCATTTTCAACTGTTCTTACATTCTCATAGAATCAAACCTTAACTTTTGCATGGTCTAATCTGTATATTATTATTATTTTCTTCAGGAAGTTCGAAATGTGTATGAGACGACGTGATGTCGAGCAGTGGATGAGCCATCGTCGCTTACCTGAAGCTCTTAGAAAGTATCGTGTTTTAGTTGCAATGTGCTCAGAAAGAAAAAAATAAAAAATAAAAAAAATATTACGCTGCTAATTAGGTGCTTGTTAATTTGCAGGCAAGTTCGAGACTCGGAACGCTTTAATTGGGCAGCCACTAGAGGAGTAAACGAAGATATGCTAATGGAAAATTTACCAGAAGACCTTCAAAGAGAAATACGACGCCATCTTTTTAAATTCCTTAAGAAAGTAAGGCTTTATCAGAGTTTTTTACCAAGATAGATAGTATATAGGTAGTTGCTCGTGTCTTTGACGATTATTATTATTATTATTATTTTTTCTCTACAGGTCCGAATTTTCCAACTCCTCGATGAACCTATTATCGATGCTATGTGTGAGAGGCTACGAACGAAAACATATATCAAAGGCAGTAAAATCTTATGTCGAGGTGGTCTAGTGGATAAAATGGTGTTTATAATCCGAGGAAAAATGGAGAGCATAGGCGAAGATTTGATCGTGGTCCCTTTATCCGAAGGGGATGTTTGTGGTGAAGAACTTCTCACCTGGTGCCTTGAACATTCTTCTGTAAATAAAGGTACATAAAAAAACAAAAATTGAGCGTCGCGATTTAAGGCTATATTTGGTAACCAAATAAGTTAGATTATAACTTCTTTGGTTAGCTTGTATTCAAATAAGTTTAGTTGGGTAGGACAAACTTTTTTAAAAAGCTCGTGCTTATCTATAAGCTTCTTTGGGTATCTTTTTCAAATAAGTTCGTTGAAATTTTTATTTCAGTTAGCTTATCAGCTAATTTTACAAAACACTTTATCATATAAGCTAGCTTTTCAGCTATAAGTTATAAGGTTGAAAATCTCTTATAAGCTATAGCTCGTTTTACCAACCTAAGACCGTTCGTTACCTTGGTTTTTTTTTTCGAGTTTGCTATCGTTTTTTCGACTTTAGAATGTCATTTTATTTATGGCTTTAATATTTTTCCAGATGGGAAAGCAATCAGGATTCCAGGGCACAGACTGTTGAGCAACCGGCTAGTGAGGTGCTTGACAAATGTCGAAGCTTTTGTGTTACGATCCGCAGATCTTGAAGAGGTGACGAGTCTTTTCGCGCGATTTCTGAGAAGTCCTCGTGTTCAAGGGGCCATTAGGTAAAAAAAAACACCTGAAAATTTATCATAACATGACGTTAGGTAAAAAGTAATAAGTAAAAACGCCTTGAGACATAATGCTTATGTACGTGTATATATGTAGGTACGAATCGCCTTACTGGAGAGGACTTGCGGCTAAACGAATTCAAGTAGCTTGGAGATACAGACAAAAGCGAATAAATCGTACCGCGTAATTAGCTAACGACATTCATCGAGCATTTGCGAATGCATATATGCAAAAACGGTGTATATATATATGTGTGTGTGTGTGAATCATATTATTCCACAGCATGAGTAAATGTGATGTTAATTTAGGGAGAATATGTGCTGCTAAATGATTCTTGGAGGTCAAATTCATGATGTCAAAATTGTTGCTTATTTTGGTACATATTCTACTTTTGTTACTTTGAGTTATATGAAATTAGATTGGAGGTCTTTGAGAGCTTCTTGTAACATGGCCACGGTTTGAATTGACCCGGTCAAAATCGTTGACCGTGGGCCTTGAACTGGTCCGTGGATTTATCCGGGCTGGTTCGGGTTTATTTTTATCCCACAAATTGATCCGGAATCAGCAATTCAACGAGTTTAACAATTAATTTTTTTTTTTTTTAATTTTGTCAGTTAGGTTTGGAATCGGTTGGCTAGTTCAAAACCGTGAACAGTCCCATATATGTATTCGGGGTGATTTAGGTTCACATACAGTGGAATCGTAAACTTGGCGGTTCCGAACTGGAACTAGGTTGAAATTGAGTTTTAGTCATATCTAAGTATCCAGAGGTGTAAACAAGACGAGTTAATAAGATGCGTCAATCAACAAGATCGATTAACAAGTTAAGTTCGGATCTCGACTGACGAAGCTATGAGAAAGTATATAAAATTCAGCTCGTTAACTAGTCGAGCGTAAAATTGGATATTGGTTATTTTATTAAAAAAAAAATGTTTGATTGAAAAGAAAAATCCGAGGTGGATGGTTAACTTAGTTTGAAATTGTGAATACATATGAGATAATGTACTAACTATAAAATTGACTAGTGTTGATACCTGTGCGATGCACGGGGTGCGATAAAAAGAAATATTTTTTATTTAGATACTATAACATTATTTAAGACAATATGAAATTCTATTACCCACAATATCCTATTAAGTAATAATATGACATTTATTTACTATTGTTGTTAATTTTTATTTATATATATATATATTTGTAGTTTTTGACTATTTAATATATAAATTTTATTATTTATTAGTTTATAAAATATTATAAATGTATAAGATCATATGATATTTGCATACAAATTACGTGTATGTACTGATAAAATTACCGTTTATCACGGTCTTATATTTTTTTCAATAATTCATAATTTGGGCATTGCTTGACGACTGGCCAACGTTTAACCCATAATATGTATCTTCCGGTATAATTATTAAATGCATTAAATGTTCAAAATTTTGATAAATAAAATTTTATTTTTTAGTAACTTTAATCCTTATGCAACACATAAATTTTTATGGTTAAATATTTTATTTTTATGTTTTTATTTTTATTTATATTTATTTCTCTAATTCATTTTTTTCAACCTATATAATGAGTTATATAATATCTATTCAAATATTTAGATATATTATATATTTATATAATTACCAATGCAATACTTTATATTATTATACATTATTTTTTTATTAACTTTTTTTTCTTAATAAAATAGTATATAAGAAAAAAATATATTTTTTTTTAAATGGAATAGTTTTTTAATGTACATAGATACTTATAAGGTAAAATTTATGATTATGAATTGCACCCGACCATCAAATTTTATTTTTATTTATATATTATTTAAATTTTCAATAGTATTATATGATATATTCAATGGGATATACCTTTTTATAGTTAAATTGACTACATTTTATAAACTTTTATTAATATTTAAATTTATTTATTAAGGTATTATGATTTAAATATGGTTATTCTTATTATTTATTGAATATTTTAAGTACTTATAAATAGTGAATATAATTAATTAGATTAACACCTACAACCATAGATGATAATATATTTAATCAAATCAATTTCCATAATATTTTTTTTTGAATTGTATCAATAAATTACTATTAAATTAATAAAAGATCTGATTGAAAATATATCTAATAAACCTACGGTAAAAATTTTAATTTAGGCCAATTTGTAGTTAATGAGTAACAATCATTGAGTGTATAAAAATTAATAATATTTTTTATACATAAGATTTGCTAATAAATAAATATTAATCAAATGCCAAATATAGCCGAAAAAATTTTCTGCCCAAAATCATGACAATTATGACAATAAGGATTAGTCCATTATACAAATATAGATATAGATATAGATATAGACGTGATGAAAAAATTAATAAAATAATACTTATAAAATGATTGATTTATAGTTAAAAATACGATGAATATTAAATTATATTGAAAAATACGTTGTTACGATTGATGTTTATTGCTGAACTAGTACAACAACCGTGTATTACACGGATGCTTGTCAAAAAATTATTCTTAAATTTTAAAATTAATGAAAAATTATATTAAATTTAGTTTATTTTTTTACAAAAAAAATATATTACTATATATTTTAGAATAATATGTGTTACTTATGACTTACATGTGTTATATTATATTATTTTTTATAACTTATATCATATAACTACTTGAAATATAAATATATTAGTTTTTATTTTTCTAATTAATATTAAAAATAATTTTATTATCGTTATAAAGATAATATATATATTTTTTTTATACATACAATATTGATGTTAAATCGAAGCTCATAAAAAAAATTAATTTGATATATTACATATGTAAAACTGATAAAAAAAAACAAAAGTTATTAACTTTTAAAATACATATGCAATTCAATAGTTATAACAAAGAATGATATTAAAATGCAATTAATGCATGTAACATGACCATAAATAATCAACATATTTATGGTAATCCGAACCTAATTATTTTTGGTTTGGAATTAAATTAAAATTTACCCAATAACGAAGCATGTAATTTTGCCACATAAGATTCTGAAGCACCAGAAACAACCAGAAGCAGCCACTTAGGCTCGTTCTAGATTAATATATAGGGGGACTGCATTGATAATATTGCTTGATAACTATAAGAAAAAAATATTTGATAAGATAAATAAAAAAAATTAATAATATCCAATTGCTTCTCTTGTAAGATAAGTGGGGAAAATAATTGATCATTTTTTTTTTCTTAGAAAATAAAATAAAAAGCTTGAAATATTGTATTGTGCCTAATATATGGCAAAGAAATAGTGTAAAAAGCTAAAAAAAAATCATTTATTCCTTAAATATTTATGTAATTCGACAAATCAATCAATTATTGAAATATATATTGCAAATCCCCCAGAATTTTTCTGGAAAAATATTTTGAGAATATTTATTCTCGAAAACTGCTAATCACCTTTCATCTTTATCCTTTACCTTCTCTCTCTAAAGTCTCATCTCTCTTTCTCTCACAAGTCACACCCTTTGTTTGTCGTTTCTCCATCACAGTGTGCAGTGTACAGATAGTGAAGAACACATCACACTCTTCTCCTGTCGTCTTTGCTGTGGAGTTTTGTTTGGCGGGCCGAGTGAAAAGGTA